AAATTGATTCAAAAGGACTGAAACTAGTAGAACCATGAATTAAATCTCTGATGGCAAACTGAAATTCCAGGCCTTTGTCATATTCATGACAGTATGCCTGATCATTGTTCTTGATGATTTGATTGCTCCTTTCCAAACCTCACGTCTGTGGATGTCACGCTGAAGATTTTAACTACCCAAACTACTCATAACTTCCTAAACGGATGAGATTTCCATTGGCAATCCACATCGAGAAGATCTTAGTTAATTTCTCTATTTGTATTTGTTTTTCATTTGTATGGCCTCTGAGAATGGAGTAGATATATCCATAATGGTGAGGATTTATTGCTGTCCCGATATCTCTTCAGTCTATTAACATTCTGCCAGTTGGTTTCTCAAAGACTGGTATGTGCCTCAAATGAAGTAAAACCTAATTGTTAATGAATATCTATCTATTTAATGACAGATTTAACAACACAATAACCAGTTCAACAAAGGTGGCTGGTAATAACTGTCATCTTCTGGAATCTTCTCAGAAGTCCATGTCAGGCAGACGATCAACCATCCAGGTATCTCCTTGGCATAAAAAGACCCCACAAAGAACTACAGATGGTGGAAATCAAAAACAAAAACAGAAATTGCTGGGAAAACTCAGCAGCTCCGAAGAAGAGTCAGCTGATCTTGAAACATTAACTCTGGTTTTTCTCCACAGCTGTCAAAAGACATGCTGAGATTTCCCAGAAATTCCTGTTTTTCAGCTAGGTATCTCCTGATGGGTCCAGAACGCTAACCGTTGTGTTATAGAACACAGAACAGTGCAGCACAGTACAGGCTCTTCGGCCCACGATGTTGTGATGACCTATTATCCTACTAAGATCAAACGACCCTGCATACCCTACATTTTACTATCCCCCATGTGCCTATCCCAGAGTTGCTTAAAATCTCTAAAGTATCTGACTCCACTACCACTGCCGGCAGCTGCCCCCTCATAATAGTCATTTCCGTCCTGGGAAAAAGTTTCTGACTGTTCACTCTATCTATACCTCTCATCATCTTGTACACCTCTATCAAGTCACCTCTCATCCTTCTTCCTAGCTCCCTCAACCTTTCCTCATAAGACCTGCCCTCCAGTCCAGGCAGCATCCTGGTAAATCTCCTCTGCACCGTCTCTAAAGCTTCCACATACTTCCATGTGGGAGGCAACCAGAACTGAACACAACATCCCAAGTGCTTCTCTTTCCCCAAGAGGTCTGCTCACATGACTTGCATAGTCTTGAACCCAAATGCCTTCTTAACAAACCAATTTTGAACTAGCGGCCAGTTTAAGCATCAAAGTTGTTTTATACAGAATCTACTGATGATATCAACATTCCTAGCCCCAGGTTATAAAGGAAAAGCCTCTGTAGCGGCACAGTGGTTAGCACTACTGCCTCACAGCACCAGGGACCCAGGTTCAATTCCAGGTGACTGTTGGTGTGTCATTTGCACATTGTCCCCATGTCTGCGTGGGTTTCATCCCAGGTTAAGTGGATTGGCCATGCTAAATTGCCCATAGCATCCAGGGACATGTAGGTTAGTTGGATTAGCCATGGAAAATTCAGAAATTCAGGGATAAGGTAAGGGGTGGGTTGGTGTGACTCGATGGCCCAATTGGCCGGCTTCCACACTGTAGGGATTCTATGATTCTCTACAAACCAGTCCCTAAGTAGGGCTGTAGCCACCAATAGTAAATTGGTAGGACACAATGTTATGAAATCCAAACCAATTTAAGGGGGTTGCATCAAAGGAACATACCCAAATTGCTCTGGAACCAATCGGTATATTGGGCCATTTCAGGGAATGCTTAAGGGTCAAGCACATTATTGTGCATCTGGTGTCACACGTACAGATGGCAGATTTTCTTCCCTAAAAGAATTTAGTGAACCAGGAGGTTTTTAACAATAATCGTCAATGTTTGCATGGTTGCCATTAGGCTAGCTTTTAATTCCAGATATTAGTAAATTCAAATTTTACTATTTACCAAGACGGAATTTAAACCAATGTCCCCAGAACATTGGTTAGAGGCAAAAAAGAAACTGTAGATGCTGGAATGCAAGGTAGAAAGACAGAAGGCTAGAACACAACAAGACAAGCAGCATCTAGAACAAAGGAGAAGTCAACATTTCAGGTATTACCCTTCAGGACTGGGGCAGGAGGGGCACGAATGTGGGCCCTTTACGGAGGACAGACCATTCAGCCTGAGAGTTCAAGGTAGTGGGGGGATGGTGAATATGTGGCTGAACGGTTTGGGGGAGGAGGGGCAATAGCATGCGACTGGTGAGGGTTGGACAAGTGTGATGGGGTGGAGCAGTTGTGGGAGGGAAAGGAGAGTGGGAGGATAGTGGGCTGGGGAGTGGGATGGAGGATTGGATTGGGGGAAGGTTGTGGGAGAGATGAGGTAGAGAGGAAGGAGGAGAGATGGAGGAGTAGAGTGAATTGTGGGGGTGCACAGATGAGGAGAGAGGTGTGTGCTGTCTAGCTACAGGTGGGCAGTAGGGACCAGGAATGACCCTGGGGATAGGGGTCCATGTGTCAAGTCTGGAGCGGAGGTGGAAGTTGCAGTGAAGTTGAGGCAGGTCCCAGTCCTTTCATTGGTGGAATCTGCGGCAGTGTTTGTGGAGTCGTCCAGAGCAGAGACAGAGTTTGAAGGTGAGTTCCTATAAGATCCTGGTTGATGGTTGCTGAGGCTCGGGTGCCAGATCGGAACTGGAAGCGGTGTCCGAATCGGAAGTAGTGTCAGACTGGACGGGCCCAGTGCTGGATGAGGTGAATAATGGCGGCGGCAGCGTGTGCGGCCTGGAGATGGTCAAAAACAGGGTGCAGATTTTGAGTGATGATTGGGTTCCCCAACTGGAGGGGAGTAGAGTCTTGCAAACGTATGATTTTTAATGCCTGATATGAAGCAGAAAAGTCATTTCTTGAGCATTTGGATTCTGCGTTGAATATAGAAGAGTAGAGGTCCTCTGCAAGTTTGAGAAAGGGAGGTCTTGAGCTGGGGGTGGGACGAGGGGAGGGAGTGGAGGTGCCTGCACATTGCAGAGAGGGTTGAGCAGAGAATCCAGAGAAAGAATAGTTTCTGGAGGAATTAAGTATGGAGCATCGAAGCTGGGTCCAAGGGATTAAAATGTACCTGTAGGCCTTGAGGGATGAGATGGTGGTGACAACAGGAGCTGAGGAAGGTCACGTGACTGTAGTAGTGGGTTTGTTTCATGGCGTGATTGAAGAGCTGAAGAGATCACAGCAGTGTGGCAGTGAGAAAGGGACTCACTGAGTTCATGTCTGAGGGGGGCAGAGAACTTCTTCAAAGTGGGCATCCTTTGAAGGGACTTCGCAGTTGTATAAACTTGGTTACAGACAATAAAAACTACATTTGCTAGAATCCAAGGTAGACAAACAGGAGGCTGGAAGAACACAGCAAAGCCAGGCAGCATCTGGTGGAAAGGAGAAGTCAACATTTCAAGTATTATCCTTCTTCAGGACTCTTCGCCTTTCCTCCAAATGCTGCCTGGCTTGCTGTATTCTTCCAGCCTCCTGTTTGTCTCTCCAGAACATTGGTTTGGGGTTCTGGATTACTAGAGAACAGACATTAACAGTCTGGTATGGCCTCTCCTTACTGCTGCCACCATTGTGCTAGTGCCAAAGGAACACTCGAGTAAAAATTCATTCAGCACTTTGAAAAACTTGACCTGTAACATCATCAGGATACTGTCTTTTATGTTTGTGTCAAGTTCTGTGCTTCTTCTGCAAGGAGGTATCCTTGGCCCTTCTCTATTTCTCATCTACAGGCTGCCCCTCAGCAATATCTGAAAGCAAAGCAGTAGTTTTCACATGTAATGACACCCGTCTCCACTTCACAACCACCTCTCTCAAATCCTCCATGCTTCCCAAGTTATCAGACAGCTTATACGACATTGAGTTTCATCCAAATAAATATTGAGAAGGCTGAAGCCATTGTTTTCAGTCCTCAATCCAAAATCCATTCCCTGTTAACTAACTCTATCCCTCTCTCTAGATAACTGAAGATTATGTCAGTTTTAACTTGTCACATTTGACCCCAAGATGAAACATCAACCTCATATTTATGCCATCACCAGGAACACTTGTTTTTCTTTCAAAAGTGTCACTCATTTCAGTTCATCCATTGCTGAAACCCTCCCCTCGATATCTTTAGGTTCGACTACTCCAACACACCCCAAACTGATCTGCCACAATCCACTGTGTGTAAACTTAAAAAAATCCAAAATCCTGCTGCACCAGATCACCATCTCCCTGTGCTTGCTGATCTACTATGGACTTTCACTGTACTGATTTGAGTACATTTGACAATAAAGCTAATTCAAATCAATTCATTATCCACTTCTAACGATGTTAACCACATTGCAATTAAGGAACATGAATTCATACATTTTTTGATAAAATTTTGTATACCTCACCACTGTTTAAGTTACACTCAAATATCGCAGTAGTGATCATAACTGCTCCAAATGTCACTAACTAGAACTTTAATCACCACATTCCTTTTGACAAAACTCAAGAATTGTTCATATTACAAATTAGATAGTTTATTTCTTGCCTAATGTTCTATTCGCAAACTACAGAAATTTATAGCAAAGGAAGGCACCATGTTGTAGGTGTCGAACTCTCCACCAGAAAAAACCCAAAAGGCTATCATCCTGCATATTCCACAACATCAAATTTATGCCTCCCTTGCGACATAATTGTCTCTGCCTCAAATACTCAAGAATTCACTGTTTATATTTAGCATGGATGATGGTAATGTTAATCACTAAAGCCTCGGCATCCCTCGACTTTGGCAAACATTGGTCAAGTTTTCCTTCTCATAGATGTAGTAAACCTTGTGCCAGCTACTGCATCAATGCAGCAACTTAAATATAAAAGTCTGGAAAAACCAGTTTCTCAGAACAACCTGTGCATGTCAGTGGAGTAGAATCTGAACCCAAAACCAGAATGATTAACAGCGGTGCACCAAAATTAAATAGTTTAATTATTTCCGAGAAAAAAAAATTACATGCACTGTCCCACCTTTCTATATACAACCATAAAGCTTTTTTTGTTAAAATATAAATTCCCTTTGTCAGCATTCACCTTTCAGAAACTTCTTCTGTTGCATCATTAAAATTACATTTATATGAAAAGCATCTATCCAAATGTAAACACTAAGATGTGGAAATTGGACTACACCCTAAATCTATAAAGATAATAAATCCAGTGCTACAGTTTTACACACCAATAAAAAAGTTCCACACAGCTGGGTGTTGTTAATCCATTGATTTTTAAGAAGGGCCAGGTTACCAGCTCTCAACTCTTCCGCTGCAGTCACGGATAGCTGCAACTCTGGCAAGAAACGGTGTAGGTACAAGCTTACTAAATTCTTCTCAAACATCAAACAGCAACGAGTGAATTTAAAGTCAGACGTAGGCTCAGACACCTGCTAATACGACATGACTACTAAAATTCATGTTTAAGGACCACATAATCAACAAACACACAACCGAAGTGTCAGCATTTTAGGAAATGTGCATTTCACACCTTTTTAAAAAAAATCTTTGATACAAAATTAATATCCGTTAATACCTTCAAAATATCAGCAAATAGACATTGAGCATCACCAAGAGAATGATGGTCAATACATTTTGGGTACACCCGGACTGACCGAGCACCTTCTGCATTTCCAGCATTGCAAGTTTCTTTTTAAAGCTAATTTGCATATTACGTATCTTGTTGATGGCCTTTCAGTCAGCCCACGAGAAAAAGACTGTAACAACGATTTGAGTTCGCACTCAATAAAAAGTCACAACTAAACAAAACAATAGAGGGACCTACACAAATGTGGTGAATGATAAAAATGGCAATGAGCAGTCTTGAAATGAAGAACTGAATATAAACGCCAGAAAATAAGTAAAAATTGGGTCAGCGTCTTGGGAAAAGTCAAAATACAATATTTGTTCAAGCTCTGTCACAAGATTTCATTTTGATTGCACATCTGCTCTGACATGAAGGGCATCCTGGACAGGCTATTGTGCAACAATATTCTCTTAGAGTTATTACTTCAACATATAAACATCATTCCCATTAAAGCTGTCTCCCCAACCCCACTCCAAGGATTACAGTTTAATCAGGATCTGTAATGTGAGTGTCAAATAAACCAAACAAGGTCCAGTGAAATAAAAAGCGATAATGAAGCAATATAACTGCCAACTAAAAGAAAACATTCCATAGAAACTGAGAAAGAAAAATAAGCTATATAATCTGGTTGAAGTATTAGGCACCTCCAAAACCATAAGTAGCAATACTAGTCTATGTGTAGGATCACCCCATTATTATATCTTCAATCATACATTATCTTGTGCGCCACTTTGATAAGCAATAAAACTCTCCAAAACCCTTCATTAACTGGCATAAGGGACAGACGGCATACTAAATTACAGTACAAGCTGATCTTTGTGCAATTCTATGCTCCTGGGAAACAATGAATGTTTCATATAGTGAAACTACTATTCAAGGCATACTTATAGTGTTGCTGTATAAAATTAACTGCAAAAAAATTAATGGCATCTATGTGTATAATCCATATGCATGCTAGTTAAATAATTGACAATCTTGCTTGCAAATCAGCATCCTGGGTGATTTGAACAGGCTACAAAAAGGCAGCCAGCTTTTTCAGTCTTTGGCTTAAATGAACCAAAACACAGCAAAATGAATGGCATGGTGGCAGTATGTGAAATATATACTGCTCTTGACGATTCCATCAGTACTTTTGGAAATTACGTGTAATCCGGTAAACACAGAATGGGACATAACAGTGGTACCTGCCAAGGTTAGACTACTTACTGACAGTTGCGTGAAGACTGGCCAGGCCCATGAGGAAGTGTACCCCAGTAAGAGTCAATGCATCCTGATGTGGGAAGGGAAGTATAGAAGACTTACCAGGAAATAAGGTAACATCAGGTAATAAACAGTCTTCTTGGCCAGCAGTAGGAGAAATGTCAGTCTAAAATCAGTTATTGACCATTTTCTTTGCAGCCTTTAAGGCAGCAACAACCTCATAGCTTGGTAACTTCAGTGAAAAATCGCCATAGTTAAAAGAAAAATATCTGACTGTAAAATTTGGTGATGCAGAACCAGGATGCAAACTGGAAGTATAAATGAATATTATTAATTTACAGATTTCTTTTCCAACAACTTAAGATACAGCAACTGTGTGAACGAAAGGGAAAATACAAGAATTCTCCCGCCCTCCCCTCCCCAGGAGGCTAATTTAACTTTGCTTATTCAGAAATATTTGGGAGGGGAAGTTGTGTCATTAATCCCCGGTCCACGGATGTCAATTTTCTATTCCCCAACTGCTACTGATTCATCGAGTAGTAACAATTTTCTTATACCATTTATGGGATGAAAGCATCGTTAAAAGACCAAGATTTACAATCCATCTCTAATTACTGTTGAGAATATTTCAATCTGAACAACATAGTGGTGAACTTAAAGAACTCACATTCACTGTATAAATAGGAAATAAAAGTGATTGACGTAAAACAATCAAAGGATTCAGATAACAGCATGCAATTTGAGTGCTAAACTCCTGAGGTCCTTCAACCTTTAAGACAGTCTCCAGTGCCTCAAGCTCCATCCTATCCACTACTAATGTTCATTGTTTATTGGAACGTAGTGTTGTAGACCAAGAAAAAACTCACCAAAAAAGATGCTGAAAGTATATTATTGTTAGAATCTAATTAGAATGTTACATCTATCTCAAAACTAGCAATTTCAATGATCCTACCATACTTCTCCCCATGAAGGTCAGATTGTACTTATTTTTTTACGGTTTCTGAGTCGATATACCCAAGATTATGTTTTGAGGAAAAAGTAGATGTGTCGTCAGAACTTTAGTTTAGCAGCTAACTGATTGGACTGCAAAAAAAATCAGCACTTGAACACCTCCTTGTTGTTTCCACTCTACAGTGGAATAGTTAATGTGACAGAAGTCATAAAACACCCAGCATTTAGACAAGGAGCAAAGAAAATAGCCTCAACATACAACTGTTGCAGTTATCAATGATGCCAGATAGGTTAAAAGTAAACACAGATAAGATATTCAGCCACAAGACGTGTCTCATTCGCTGCTACCCCATGTCTCTGTGGCTCTTTCTTCAACCTTTTGCTTCCTCTTCCATCACCGATGAATCACAGATGTTATTTTGACATTGAGGCGGGCACTCTATGAGATCCTCTGGCACAGATTCTGTACAGTTAACATCCATGTGTGCTTCTGGTGGTGTTTCAGTAGATGTGGGAAGCGATGGGACAGTCAAGTCAGAGACGGAGCAGCTTTCCTGATCCAGGCCTTGCTCCGTTGAAGCAGCAGCACAAAGCTCAGTGCTAACAGAATTTAAAACTTCAGGCACAGCTCCAGTCGTGTGGTCTATTTGAAAAACAGCACACACACATTCATTAGAAACCAGTCACACAAATTCATTCCCGGCACATAGTATTCATGTCCTGCATTGAACTCTTCATCTTCTCTGCATTAGATTTGTTTAAAAGCCTCAAAAGGGTAGTTAATTCTTCAATCATAACTGCTGACAAAATAATGCAATTTGTGAGACAGCTAAATTGAAGAGAGAGGGAGCAGTAAATTTGCAGCATTTGAATTGCTTTTGAGATCTACTATGACTGGCACCTCGTGTATACCAGAGTTAAAATATTGAAAGGGAAAAAGAAACAAAAATATATAAACGCTTTTCCACGTTATCTGTCATAACAGTGATAAACTAAAGCAAAACTATTCACTCAAAATGAGAAACTAAATTTTGAATACTGACAGAAAAATTATCTTAAATTAAACACATAGAATCATAGAATCCTCATAGTGTGGAAGCAGGCCTTTCAAATCTATGCCGACCTTCTGAAGAGCATCCCTCCCAGACCCACCCTCCCATCCTATTTTATCCCTCTAACCCTGCATTTCCCACGGCTAATCCATCTAGCGTGCACATCCCTGGATACTAGGGGCAATTTAGCATGGCCAATCCACCTAACCTGTATATCTTTGGACTGTGGGAGGAAACCCACACAGACCCAGGGAGAATGTGCAAACTCCACACAGACAATCACCCGAGTCTGGAATTGAACCTGGGTCCCTGGTGCCGAAATGCAGCAGTGCTAACTGAGCCCACTAGAAATTTAAAACAGCAAAACAATTGGTTTTTTGACTTATGTTGCGAAATAATTTGGGCGGGATGGAGAAATTGTGGGTGAACTGCACAGACCCACACATCAAGAATAGCCACACATACAAGACACCGTACAGCAGTCACAGCCTGTGGATCATGGTCCAGCGGGAGGGAGGAAAGTTGTGGGGAAGCAAGAAAGTTGACCACTGCCTGCTTACCAGAGGGGAGATCAAGTTCTTCACTGACAAGGACCCCATTTGTTCCAGTGTTTCTCTCTGTTATTGTGTTAAAGATAGGCGAGGAGGATGATGTCACTGCCATTTTCAACATATCGGATAAGTCATGAGCTTCAGGAATGTCTGTGGATCCAGGTGGAAAACCTGTTTAAGAATACAAAAGACAAATTAAATCATGCCCCAAATTTGCGCCAGTGGGAACTCCATACTGTGGTACCCGACTGTAGTCATTCAACCTCACATCAATTGAAAGCCTTTTAAATTCTATTCAGAAGTGCTTTTACAATATTTAAAGACAAGACTCCGCAAAACCGAGTGCTGAAATATGAGGCAACAGCATGCACAGTTTATCAACCAGGTGGACTAACTTGTAGAAGCTTGTCACTACTCCAATTCAAACTCCTTAGAATTCCAGAGCAGAGATGATGCTCACCCAGAACGTAGTCTTCACTCTATCACCCAATAGCCTGGAACTTACATCATTACACTAAATGCCCCGTAAAACCACACTGGACTAACATCAACTGGGCTGAGGCAGCAGGAGCTTGGGATTTGGTCACATCTACGAGATCATCTGACCATCACTGGTAGGATTTTACAGGCCATTATTAAGGATGAGATTGCACAATAGTTGAAAGCGCATTTTAAAATAGGGCTGAGTCAGCACAGCTTTGTCACAGGGAGGTCATACCTGAAAAATCTGTTAGAATTCTTTGAGGAGGTAACAAGCAAGTTAGACACAGGGGAGCCCATGGACGTGATCTATTTAGATTTCCAGAAGAATCTTTACAAGGTGCCGCACAGGATGCTGATAAATTAGAGCCCATGGTGTTAGGGGCAAGATACTGGCTTGGATAGAGGATTGACTGACTGGCAGAAGGTAGGGATAAAGGGGTCTTTTTCAGGATGGCAATCGGTGACTAGTGGAGTTCCACAGGGGTCAGTGTTGGGATCACTATTCATGTTACACATTAATGATCTGGATGAAGGAATGAGCGCGTTATTGCTAAGGTTGCAGATGCCACAAAGATAGGTGGATAGACAGGTGGTGTTGAGGAGGTAGGGAGGCTGCAGAAGGACTTGGACAGGCTGGGAGAGTGGGTAAAGAACTGGCAGACGGAACACAATGTGGGAAATTGCGAGGTCATTCACTTTGGTAGGAGAATAAAGACATAGACTATTTTCTAAATGGGGAAAGGCTTCAGAAATTTGAAACACAAAGGAATTAGAAGTCCTAGTTCAGGATTCTCTTAAGGTTAACATGCAGGTTCAGTTGAGAGTTAGGAAGGCAAATGCAATGTTAGCATTAATTTCAAGAGGGCCAGAATACAAGAGCAGAGATGTACTGCTGAGGCTGTATAAGGCTCTGGTCAGACTGCATTTGGAATATTGTGAGCAGTTTTGGGCCCAATATCTAAGCAAGGATGTGCTGGCCTTGGAGAGGTCCAGAGGTTGAGAAGAATGATCCCAGGAATAAAGGTGCTTGTCATATAAGGAGTGATGGAGGACTCAATGGAGCTTAGAAAGATGAGGAGGGATTCTCATTGAAACTTCATGAACACTAAGAGACCTGGATGGAGTGGACGTGGAGAGGATACTTCCGCTAGTAGAAAAGACAACAACCTAAGGACACATCTTCAGAGTAAAGGGATGACACTTTTGAACTGAGGAGGTGGAATTTCTTGAGCTAAAGGGTGGTTAATCTGTGGAGCACATTGCCGCAGAGGGCTGTGGTGAACGAGTCATTAACAGTATTTAAGACAGAGATAGATATGTTCTTAATTAATCAGGGAATCAGAGGTTATGGGGAGAAGGCAGGAGACTGGAGTTGATAAACATATCAGCCATAATCGAATGATGGAGCAGATGTGATGGGCTGAATGGCCTATGTCTCCTTCTATGTCTTATGACCCACAGTGTACTCATTGCTGTAATTACAACACTTCAAAAATGTCATGGAATTCAAAAAGAACTTTGTTTCATTTTCTTGGAACGCTAGTATTCATGATGGCTCAAAATGAAATTGGGACATTATTATGTATAGTTTGTTGCAGTTTCATCTAAGTAATTTATAAAGAATTATCTACAAAGTCTTAATGGTTGTTCAACATTTGAAAATTTTTATCTATCCCAATCAATCACTGCATGGAACCCACTTGGGAAATCACAGATGTGAGACTTATGTTCCCAATGTGCTGCACTACTTCTGAAATCAGCAAATCATATTCATCACAGGCACACAGTACAGCAAGAGTGCATCGTAGTGCTGCACTGGAATAGACTCTGTCGCCCATCTGATTGTTCCCAGTAAAAACCTCAACACAAACTACATTGTCTATGAAAGTGGAAATTACGTGAAAATGCCCAGACGTTCATGAACATTTATATAATTATAGGTTGACTTCAGCCCAGAAAGAGGCCAGTTAGCCCACTGTATCTACGCTAACCCACTGGAGAAGCATTTCAGCTAATACTCCTCCTCATCCCTTTACTCTAGACCTGAAAATTTTCCTTTTCCAATAAGCATCCAATTCCCTTTTGAATACTTTAATTGACAACACGTCAAGGTAAACAGAAGTGCACAATTTTAAAACTACACTAACAGTGACCTCTGTCAAGAGAGGGTTCAACTCCAACATGACCTGATGTTTGCCAAATGCCAATGCATTTGCTTATGCATCAAAGCACCATTGCAGAGAACTTTATTGGTTGTCTAACAGTGGCTTCAAGTGCTGCAAGGAGAAGAAAAGCAAAGAGTAAAAAACGTCAGGAACAGTACCTGGGTCCATGACCCGTTGTATAGGAGGAGGGAGTAATGAACTTTCCATCGTTAGGTTGGTCAAGCTCTGCTCCAAATCTGGACTCCCATTCGTTCCATCAACTGGCGAGCTTGGAGCAATTAAAGGTGCCTGCAAAATAAGCACAAATACACATTGTCTGGCGACCTCAACCTGTACTTAGTAGTGAACTCAACTTCAGTGGCCACATTTGCAGACACATCACCCAAGTCATTTCTCAAAGCTGCTACAATAATTCCAACTTTATTCTTCAGGAAAAGAAAACAAATTGAAAATGATGTAATTTTAGGAGTATAGTAAGAATGTACTTACCTAGATCATGTTCACCAATTGATCTTGGTGTCAGTTACAGCACTAAAGAAAATGTGTCTATTTTAAAGTGATTATAAATATTAAGCTTCCCAATGACTCAGTTTATTGATTTGAAATACTTCTGGCATTCTTCTCTCCACAGGTGCTGCCCAGCCTGCTGAATGTTTATTTTTATTGTCAGTTATTCAGTTTGTGAAGTCACATACAACCAAAGCTACAAAGTCTCACATATTGATCATTGATCATTTGCTGCTCTCGGGTGAATGCTGGCAAGGATGGTCCAAGAGGTTTCAGTTACATTGGGCTGAGAGGGTTGGGGTGGGGACAGGAAATTGTCGTTGCTGTTGAACAGTGGTCTCTGGTGAATCCCTGCTGGAAAATGCGCATGTGAGATATTGTGTCAGGACAACATGGAGGGCTGGTGGTGATGGGCCCTCCGCTATGTTTAAACAGATTGCCAATGCTCACTCACACAACAATTAATGGTAACTTGGGCAAAGTAACACAGAATGGGAGATCCACATGAGAACCATTAAGGGTAAATTATGTTTGATTAATTTGATTTGAGATTATTGACAAAGTAGCAGAGAGTGTGGGTCACGGCAATGCAAGTTGGTTTTGGGTCTGTGGACTTCAAGAAAAACATTTGAAGAAAATATTTGAAAATTTTTAAATCCTGGGTTCATGGATTTCCCAAAAAAATAAACATTGGTGTCTTAACAAAATCATCATGATATTAAAAATTACGAAAAGTTTACTAGAGTAACTAAATAATGACAATTTCCGATGCGGAAGGGTCAATAACAAATGGGCGCAGACTTAATATCACCAGCAAAACAAAAACCACCTGTGGGCACTGACTGATTAGGCTTTAGAATAGTTGTAACTTTCAGAAGGGAAGTGGATAACTACTTGAAGGAGAAAACAAAATTGAAGAGGGAAGGAAAAGGTGCAAGAAACGGGACTAAACGAACTGATCTTTGAAACAGCTGGCAAATACTCAGATATTTTATTTTTCAGTGAACCGGCTCCTGCAAAAACATAATTTAGCAAGACAATAGCATCTTCAAAGAGATGTAGCAGACCTGAAAAGTGTGGGCTACAAGTAACATTATAATATAAAATAAACTCCTGATGGTTACAAACAACATACACAATGTACCTAATTTATGATGTTAGATTATGTGCATCTATTATTATGTGTGTACCAGCACATATCTAATATTAGTACATTTGTACATTTGATACAAATGTTTATCTGATTAGCTTCTATGTTTCAATTAATGGTATATCAAATAAAGTTATAATGGCTGTCTATTAAGATTATAAGTTGTGAAGTTGTGCATCCTGCTGACATACACAGTCATTGCAATCATTCTGTCAAGCTTCAGACTCCGCCAACTGGTCATAAACAAGTACTGCTTTGAATTTAAAATGCTCTGGCACTTCTCATTTTTATACTGAATACCAAGTTTCTTGTCCTCTCAAAGAGGCTAATGCAAAGTCAGATTTCTGTTGAAAAAAATACATAGAACAACCCTTTGATTGGGAAAAGTTAACTTCATCTGAGTCAGTAATTTCTATATTATAAACTCATTATGGAGGCAGGGAGCAGAGCAACAGATCGACATGCCTTATGCTCCCACCATCAAGGACGAGCAAATGCTAACATAGGAGAAATCGAATCTTCTTGCAGCACACCAGAGGTGTTTTAAAAAAAACTCTAAAATTGCATGAAGAAATATTTTGATGGTAGGACTCTGAGAATTGACAGGTAAATTCATTAATTGTGTAAGATATCATTTCAATTGGGATCAATGTGTCTTTACAAACTAGTCGTCACCTACCTCCGTGTATCCCTTTTCTAGGTTCTGGGGTGGCGTGCTTGCTACAGGTGGTGGTGGTGGTGGAATCTCAACCTTTTTCTTTGGTACGACAGGACGGGAGGGGATTCTGTGCAAATAGCCATATCCAATGCCACAGCCCAAGCTGAAAATGAGAAACATGTGAGGTGAATATGGTGGATGCTTGTTGAATTATATATTACATACACTCTCAAGATCAATTAGGAACAGTCAATAAATGCTGGCCTTACTAGAGACACTCATATTTTAAGAACATATATATACCGTTAAACAGGATGTTGGGGAGGGTCCCCAATTTATGAATACTCACACTGTGACTATAAGTTCAAAGGATGGGCAGGATGAAGATTGACAAACCATTTCTGGTAAGTCACACAAAGTTGCAGCTGGAGGGTGAGTGCTTCAGTCTAGGAATTTGGTAAGTCAGAGTGTGTTTTCAGATTTGTTTCTAAAATCTATTCAAGCTTGCATTTTACATTTAACTTAACTGTGACAATAAACTGTAATTTCTTTCGCAGTCTTAGTCAGTGATTATAAAGGCCTCTGCCTAAAGGCATTTCCAAGGTATTTAAATAGCAACACAGCAGTGATTTGCTGGCCTAACTCATCTCACTAAAATCTAAGTTCATATACAAAATCCAGTATGTCTATATGCAAAAAAGTGGCAATGGAGACTGAGTGCTACGAGATGGAATGCTTAAATTTGGGAAGTTGGTAAGTAAGGGAGATGGTGCTATTCTATTCCATTACGAAAAACAAGCAATACGCAAGGGGCAGTTGGTCAAAATCTAACAGGTGAAGCCTGGAGACATTGCGCAGGTGTACAGATGGTAATTGCCGAGTTTTAAGTTTGCTTCCCCGCCCTGCTCAAAACTGGACAGTAGTTTAAACCAGTCCTGGGGAGATTCAAGAATTATATTACATTTTTAGTCTAAATAGTTGACTCTATTATGTAACTATAAATAATAACAATGATTTTCAAAACTTAAAACCTAATTACTTAAATACAAAGAAAATAATGAGGGCAGGGCAGGCATTCTTTTGCAACTGTAACATGTATGAGCTTGTAGATGTGAGAGATTCACAGCAATTACACCAGCAGAAGCTGCAGCTGGAGAAGCTTCAGCTCTGAATTAATGAGATGATCTGGATGGTTCATGAAAGGGGATATTTGAAAAGTTGAAGAGAAAGGACAATGTAGTAGCACAGGGTAGCTAATGATAATCAGAACATGACAAGGGACAATGTATACAAACGTAAAGAATGCACAAGCAAATAAAGTCTAGGTAAGGACAAATTGTAAATCAACATAATTAAATGCTATTTATCTTAACACACTCAGCATTCATAACAAGATAGATAAATTGATAGCCAAATAGGAATGAGTACAATATGACAGCAATTACAGAAACATGATTACAAGGTAATCAAGGCTTGGATCTAAATATATTGAAATAAGGTTATTTGACATTTCAGTAGAACAGGAAGAAAGGAATAGGTGATGGGATAACTGTTAATTTAGGATGAATTCAGTACAGCAGCAAAAAATTATCTTGTTTGAGGAAGGCAAAAAGAAGAATCAGTTGGGATGGAAAGATGAAATAACAAAAGAAAGCAGTCGCTCGTGATATTGATTTATAAGCTGACAAGAGCTAAACTGTAGGACAGAGTAAAAGTCAGGGAATAATGGGGCCTTATGAAAGGAACATGACAACAGTGAAGAAATTTTAGTCTCCATAGACTGAACAAACTAAACTGGTAAAGGTGTCATATAGGACAAATTCATAGTGCATTCAAGACAGCTTCTTCAAACAATATGTTTGGAAGAACAGGCTATTTTAGACCTGGTAATGTTTAATAGGACAGAATTAATAAATGATCTCATAGCATAGGATCCTCTACCTAACAGTGATCATAACATGATCAAGTTCACAGAGTGAGGTCGTTGCTGTAGCACTTATTGCCCAGAGGGCAGTTAAGAGACAACCACAATGCTGCGGGTCTGGAGTCACACATAGACCATACCGGGTAAGAATGGTAGTTTCCTTCGTTAAAGGGCACCAGTCAACCAGAAGGGTTTTTTTTTGCCACAATCGACAATGAATTCATGAATTCCAGATTTTTATCAAATTCCACCATCTGCCACGGCGGGATTCGAACCCGGGTCCCCCAGAACATTATCTGGGTCTCTGGGTTAACAATCCAGCGATAATACCACTAGGCCATCACCTCAGGTGATGAGGACATTACTGGCTATGCCAGCGTTTATTGCCCATCCTAATTACCCAGAGGGCAGTTAAGAATCAATCACATTGCTGTGGGTCTGGAGTCACATGTAGGCCAGACCAGGTAAAAGGATGGCAGTTTCCTTTCCTAAAGGACATTAGTGAACCAGATGGGTTTCTCAAAAAATCAACACAGTTTTTTTTTATTGAATTCAAATTCCGCCATCTGCCCAAGCAGGATTTGAACCGGGATCCCCAGAACATTACTTGGGTCTCTGGATTAACATTCCAGTAATAATAACACTGAGCCACTGCCTTGATAATGCGTGGTCAGGCAATGTCCCAGAGAACCGGGTTTAAATCCCACCATGGAAGATAGTGGAATTTGAATTCAATTAACTAAGTATGGAATTAAAAGTCAATGATGACTTTGAAATCATTGTCAATTGTCACGAAAACCCATCTGGTTCACTAATATCCTTATCTGGTCTGGCTTACATGTGACTCCAGACCAATAATACAGTAATACAGTTGACTCTCAACTGCCTTGGCAAGGCACTCAAGGGCTATTAGGGAGGGATAACAAATGCTGGCCCAGACAATGATGCCCACATCTTATGAATAAAAAATTGTTGGTTACATATACCACTTATTTCTAACATCCAGAATTACCATGGTAAACATGGGCAACATACTTTGATCAAACACTCAATAGTGCACCCAAAAATAAGAAATGCAATCAAGACAGGTCCCAAAATTTCTCAGCAAGTCCCCCAATGTTAAGGACACAAGGGGTCATCAAATCTTATTAAACTTCACAACTTCACTTCACTTGTGATCTGGATTGAAACTTCCTGTCAGGAACCATTCCATCACAGTCTGCCTCAATGACTGTTGTTCTATTCCATCGCCCTCCTGTTGTAGATCTATACTCCCCTGGTTTCTCAAACTGCACTCCAGTATTTATTCAAAGGCACAACTCCAGCTTTTTGATGACAGTTAGAAAGAATCCAGCTTTGTGAAGCTGAGTTCTAATCTTGCTCAGTTGCATTAAGCAAACATTCATACAGGGTTTTTAAGCCCTACTCTTAAGCTGCATTGACCTATTAGTGGCACCTGTGAGCCATAACAATTTTCAGGATATTTTCAAAGTGACCCTTAGCTGCCTATTAGATCCGAGAACAACTTCTTTGAGTTCCAACAGTAAAGAGATATTCAACTGCTCTTGACAACTTCTCACTGAGTATCTTACACAGAATCTGCATAGTTCAGTAGTCTTCTCTGCAATATGACTAAAAATCAGCACTTCTGACATTGCCTCTTACTCTTTGTTTCTTTTGCATACACCTACAGATATATTTCAGTCCCTGTCTGCAGCCTTTTGAACAGCCTTGTTTCAGTGACCTATGTACTATTCTGAGTGACTTATTGAAAACCTTACAATAGGTCTCTCTTCTGTTGCCAGGCAGAATTGAATGTTAATACTAACACATGGAACTAAGTATGCCATAAATGTTACCAGTCATAGATTACTAGTTTATTCTGTTCAAAAAATGGATACAACAAGAAGTTATCATCACAATCACCGGAGAAAAACTAGCAGGAAACCTAATGCGACTAAAGGCTGACAAGTCCCCTGGACCTGAGGGTTTTAAGGAAATGGGCATATTTTCCTAAAATCAGGAAAGGTCCCAGCAGATTGAAAAACCATAAATATATCACCACTATTTAACAAAGGAGAAAAATAGCATGAAACTACAGGGCAGATAGGCTAACATATAACAATGGTACAATTCATTAATAAACAAGTCGTAGCAGGACATCTTGAAAATCATTATACAATCAGACAGAGTCAATACGGTTTTGTGAAAGGCCAATCATGTTTGACTGAAATTTATTAACATTCTTTGAGGATATAAAACACAGGATGAATAAAGGGGGCCAGTAGGTATAGTATATTTGGATATGCAAAGGGCATTTAATAAGATGTTACATAAAAGATTGATGGAGAAGAGCTCATGGTGTATGAGATGATACATTAGGATTGGCTCACGAACAGAGTTAGGATAAGTAGGTCATTTTCAAGTTGCTAATTATAAATGGTGGAGTGCCCCAGCATCAGTGCTATATTATTGATTTGGATAAAGTGATTCAGTGTATTGCAGCCAAGTTTGCTGCTGATACAAAAACAGGTAGGAAAGCAAGTCATAAGGAGGGTGCAAAGGGTTTGCAGAGCCATAAATAAAGAGAGTGAACAAAAAGTTGGCAGATGGAGTATAATGTGGAAAAACTTGAGGTTCCCAACATTAGCAGGAAGAATAGAAAAGCAGAACATTATTTAAATGATGAGAGACTGAAGAATGCTGTAGTACAAAGGAATCTGGGTATCCTTATACATGAATCATATAAAAAAAGTTTCCAGATACCAAAGTAGATACAAAGAAACTGGAAAGTTAGACTTTATGCAAGGGTCAGGTAATACTGCTACAATTGTACAGGGCACTAGTGAGTTCAAACTCATGACTGGTTCCTGGAATGAAAGTGTTATCTTACAAAGAAAGATTCAGCAGGTGATCTGAATGAAAAAACAAGATGCTGCAGGAACCAGACAGGGTAGGAGCCTAATGTTTTCTCTCATGGGGAGAATAGAAACATAGAAAATGACTGATCATGCAATTTCAGTATCCCATTCCCACTTTCTCTCCATACCCCTTGATCCCTTTAGTCACAAGAATCATGTCCAACTCCTTCTTGAATACGTCTAACAAACTGGCCTCAACAACTCCCTGTGGGAGAGAATTCCACAGGTTCACAACTCTCTGAGTGAAGAAATTTTTCCTCAATTCAGTCCTGAATGGCTTACCCCTTATTCTTACACTGTGACCCCTAGTTCTGGACAACCCCAACATTGGGAACATTGTTCCCACATCTAGCCTGTCTGGTCCCATCAGGATTTTACATATCTCTACGAATCTAGAACTAAGGGACACAGTTTAAAATTAAAGGGTCTCTCATTTAAGAAGGATATAACGAGGAATTTTGTCTCTCAGAGGGTCATAATTCTTTGGAATTCTTTAACTCAAGTAGCATTGGAGACTGAATCATTATGTATATTCAAGGCAAAGTTAGACAGATTTATCATTCGCAGGGGAATCAAAGAGCATAGGGAACATACAGCATGGGCTTTATTTGCAATGGTAGTCCGTCTGATTCCACATCAGAAGGTCACACATTTAAAATGACATTTAAGTGTCTTGTGGCACACTGGTCGTGTCCCAACTTCTGGGATAAAAGATCTGCCCTGGCCATATGTCATAGCATGTCAGAATGAGTTGATTCTCATAGGTGCTTCACATAATACAATAGCTTATTAATAAGTCAACCAACACGTACCTTCCTTCTCCTCCCCAGGCTCCATTGGGTGTAACAACAACTTCTCGGATGGCATCCGTCTCACTGTTATAAACCATCAGTTTCAGGGGCTTTCCTTCATAGGCTTCGATCAGGTTGAAAAAATCTTCAGTCTAGTTAAAGAAAGATGCATTTCTGTTTTAAAACATAACCTTTCCCACTTCTTCCAGTTTTTTAAAACACAAAAAACCTCAATGAAAAATTGCTTTCCCTCGCAGATCGACTCACAAAAAAGTTGATGAATTCTTTTCAGATATATATATATATATATAATTATGACAGGAAAGAAGTGGTGTCTGGAGTACAACCTGCCGACGAATAGTTATTCATTCACAGAATGTAGGCATCATTAGCAAGGCTAGCAAGTACTGTTCATTCTCCACCTGCCGTCAAGAAAGAGGTGGTGAACTGTGTCTTTGAACCTTTGCGTTCTACATGGTGAAAGTACTTTCGCAGTGCTGCTAGCAGGAAGCTCCATGATTTTGACCGAACAAATAACACGTTAGACGCTTGTGTCAAGCTAGAGGACATCTGAAGCAGATGTAAAAGCAGGTATCCAAGCCATACATAATCCTCACATGGCATTATATAAACATTCCTTCACTGTCACTGGATCAAAATGCTGGCACTCCCTTCCCAACCGCATTGTGGTGTACCTCCCCCTATATAGGAGGCAATGGTTCAAGAAGGGAGCACACCAACACCTTTTCCAGGGCAATTAGGGATGGGCAATAAATGCTGGCCTTGTTAATTATGTGAATTAATAATAATAAAGAAAACAAAGTCTGTGGGGCTCTGCAATTCTACAACCACTGGGATTCCTGCAGGAGTCAGTGGCTGTTCAAAAAGAGGAGCTGTCGCTCCCTCTCATCCCAGCTATTCGTGTATTCAGTTCCAAAATAATTTAGACAAGGCATCTAGGAGCTAAGCAGTTAAACCTCAAACAGTGAAACAATTAATTCTCAGCTGCTGACAGCAAGGAGCTTTTTAAACAAGTCAACTAAATGAAAGATGGTTTACAGAAACTAGATTCCATGTGTTTCAGAATCTGGCTAGATTTGTTGAAGAAAAAAAGCTTCTGAGCTGACACAGAATTCCAGGGTCCAATATTAGCTTAGAAATTTCTGTTAGTGATATTAGCAGACAAAAATCCTCGACCCACCCTGGGCCATATTTAACTCAAACATCAAATGGAGCCTGGTGCTAATACGCTCACTTCACATTCCACTCCAGAAGCTTGAGCACATAATCTATGCTGACAGTTCACTACAGTAATGAGTGAGTGCTGCACTGTCAGAGGTGCTGTCTTGCAGAAGACACTAAAAGGAGGCCGTCTACCTTCTCAGGTGGACGCTAAAGATCCCAAGCCACCTACAGGTTTCTACTCGAATATTCATGCCCCAACGAACAACACAATAGAGATAGTAGGAACTGCAGATGCTGGAGAATCCGAGACAACAAGGTGCAGGGCTGGATGAACACAGCAGGCCAAGCAGCATCATAGGAGCAGAGAGGCTGACGTTTCGGAACAACACAATAGATTGTCTCATGATTTCTTGCATTAAATCTTATGGGGTCTTGCTGTGCAAAAAAATAGCTTTTCCGGTTCCCCTGATTCAAGTTCAGAAATATCCAGTGTCTGCATTGGTGCAGCATATAAGCAAATCTGTCACTCTCTAGCAGGATGGCTTAGGATTTCTGGTCAGGTGTGAGCCAAGAATGCAAGTACATTACAGCTTGCCTGGAAGCCAAACCACAGCTACCAGTCTCAGACTAGCGCATAAATGTATCCTAAGAGTTCATTACCTCTTGCAGCACTTGATCTGCGCCTATGATGTAATCAGTTTGTGGCTTGAGACCTGCCATGGCTGCTGGAGAATTTGGTTCAACATCCTGTTAAGTGAGAAAAGAAACAATGTGATGGTGTAGAGCACTGGTGATGCTGCATGAAGAAATATAAAGAAATATACAGAAAAATAAAGACATAACTCAGCCTCATAACTCAAGGATTGCAGCAATGATTCTCAATTGAATTCTCTTTTTAATAAGCTATATTGATGATAATACACTCAAAGATTCATGAAGGGACACACTGATCCACTGTAGTACTCCTGTAAATTGCAGCATTTTAGTCAACTTGCCTATAAAATGACCTAACTTTGTGGACCGAAAAAATTCATGTTTTTGCATAAATGTGACATGCAAGTGAACACCACTTTTTAGCCAGGTCATGCAATTGTAATCAAGCCTCACATTACCTCTGGACAAATACATGTTTTACTTACAGGTGACTTGTACATTGCAAAGATGCACAAAAGTTTAATATTGAGGCAATGGCCTAGTGGTATTATCACTGGACAGATAACATTCTGGGGACCTGGGTTCAAATCCCGCTGTGGCAGATGGTGGAATTTGAATCCAATAAGTATGTGGAATTAAGATTCTAATGACGACTGTGAATCCATTGTCAGTTGTTGGAAAAACCCATCGGGTTCACTAATGCCCTGTAGGGAAGGAAACTGCCATCGTTACCTGGTCAAGCCTACATGTGACTCCAGACCCCAACAATGCAGTTGACTCTTAGCTGCCCTCTGGGCAATTTGGGATGGCAATAAATGCTGCCTAGCCAGTGACACCCTTATCCCGTGAATAAATTTAAAAGAAATCTGTGTAGCAGCTGTTAATGACATTACAAAATGGTAACCACTCAGATCAGGGGCTCACCTTTATCCTTAGCGTGTAGTCAACGCAAGTCTTTGGAGGGTCTCTCGAGGATTATAGACCAGCATAGAACAAAGAGCAATACAGCACAGGAACAGGCCCTTCGGCCCTCCAAGCCTGCGCCAACACATTTTGCCCTTCCCTATGAAAACTGTCTTCACTTACAGGATCAGTATCTCTCTATTCCCTTCCTATTCATGCATTCGTCCAGGTCCTTCTTGAACACTACTACTGTGTCTGCTTCCACCACCTCCTCTGGCAGCACAATCCAGGCTCTCAGCACCCTCTGTGTGAATCTATGGTAATCTATAATATCATCATTACTGCTGAAAGTTGTTAAGCATTATTTGTTGTCTTATGTTCTTGTTACCAGCTGCATGATTTTTACTACTATTATTACTATGCATGATATTCCTTTATAGGATGTGGGTATTGCTGCAAGGTCAGCATTTGTTGTCCATCCCGAATTGCCCTTGGACTGAGTGCTTTTCTAGGGCCACATCACAGGACAGTTAAGAGATCACATCATGGTGGTTCTGGAATCTTACGTAGGGCAGAACTGATAAGGACATTAGTAAAGGAAATAAATCTTACAAATGATATTAGCTGTAATGGTGACCGTATCTGAGATTAGTTTTATATTCCAAATTTCTTAAGTTATAGTTATAGAGTTGTACAGCACAGGAACAGACCCTTCGGTCCAACTTGTCCATGCCGGCCAGATATCCTAAATTAATCTAGTCCCATTTGCCGGCATTTGGCCCATATCCCTCTAAACCCTTCCTATTCATACACCCATCCAGATGCCTTTTTAAATGTTGTAATTGTACCAGCCATTAATTAGATATAAATTCCAATGTTTGAACTTGTGACCCCACAGCATTAATGTGGGTCTCTAGATTACAAGTCCTGTGACATTGTCACTAAGCCACCATCTTCCCTACTGGGAAGGAATTTCAGAAATCAGACTAGATAGCTCTACAGCTCAGTTAGCAATGGTGAGGTGAAGGAATGTCAGGGGTGCAGAAGAGGCCACAATGGAGGAATGCAGAGTTTCAGTAGGTTATAGGTCATCCCAAAGATAGGGAAAGGGTGAGGCCATGGAAAGAGGTGAACATACAGTGCAGAATTTTAGAGTCATTGTTACCTTGGGAACTATTGTCAGTGGGCACAGGGATTGAAGACTATGATGGTCTTGGATCTCACAATGGACAGCAGAGTTTCAGGAAGCTCAAGTATAAGTGGAAGGTGGGACACAGCCAAGAGAGCAATGGAACAGTCAATGCTTCAATAATCATTCCTTATTAAGATGTCTTAAAAATCTATATGGTTTATAACAATTTACTTTATTGACTTCACTCTACGGGCACTACCTGAAGTGCCTCTTAAACAGCTTGCTGGTGCAGCATTTATTGTTCACATATACTCACCAGCACACGCCAAATATGTTCATGGGCACCTTCAAAACTGCAGAAGCGAACACTAGCGCCCAGCAGACCCTGACCACCCCACATGTTATTGGGGATGACTTCCACCTCCCGAATCCTTGCAGCTTTCATGTTGTACACTTCCAGCTTCACTGGTTTCTCCACATTGACAACCAGCAGGTCCTTAAAAGTGTCATTGTCTTTGTTCTGGAAAGTAAAATGTTTTTAAACCACTTTTAAATTGATTAATTACACAGTTGCACTGGATTTCTACAAGAATCTATAGCTGAGCTGATAACATAGATGACACATCAAAGATTACTGAGAAATGAGAAGTGAGAGAAAACTTTTTCACTCAGTGAGTTGTTAGGGTCTGGAATCTACTGCCTGGAAATGTAGTGCAGACAAGTTCAATTGAGGCACTGAAGACAGCTTTGAACGATTACTGGATAGAAATAGAATCATAGAATCCCTACAGTGTGAAAGCAGGCCCTTCGGCCCAACAAGTCCACACTGAACCTCACAGCATCCTACGCAGGCCCATTCCCCTGTAACCGACCTAATCTACACATCCCTAAACACTATGGGCAATTTAGCATGGACAATTTACCTAACCTGCACATCTCTGGACTGTGGGAGGAAACCGGAGCACCCGGATGAAACCCACGCAGACGCGGGGAGAATGCGCAAACTCCACACAGACAGTTGCCCGAGGGTGGAATTGAACCCGGGTCCCTGACGCTGTGAGGCAGCAGTGCTAACCACTGAGCCGCCGAAGTGTGTTACCCAAAGTATGGTTCATTCAATATGCCCAGTGATAGCACAGATAAATTGTCAGGGTTTAAGTGTCTGTAAATATCTCTTACACCAACAAGACTTACCAGCCTGGTATTTCCTATGGCAAGAATGAAGTCAAAGAATGGCTCCAAACCTGCAATTTGTGCTGGGGAGTTATCTTGTATCTGCAATGAGAAATGATAAAATCATTAAAAATTCCACATCAAAATGTGAATTCAGTATTTTATCCTGGGACCAATTGTAACATAGATCATTTGAACATTGTTTCCCTATAAATTTTAGGTGTCTTTTTAAAAATTCATTACCAAGCACCGGTGTCACTGACAAGGCAGGAGTTTTATCGCCCAGTCTGAGCTGCCTGCTACCTTCTTGAACCTTTGAAGACATGTAGTCAAAGTTTTCCCAGAGTGTAACTGGGTAGGCAGTTCTAGAATCTTGACTCTGAGATGAAGAAATGATCCACACTAAATAACTTAAATTTAAAACAACCAGTCAGCCTGTGAGCCAAGCTCACATTTCCCTCAATTCAGAACTCGCCTTTACAGCCTGAATGATTTGTACTGTAATAAAGAAATCTCAGGAAAAGTGCCTGTTTGACGCAATCTACACAAATTATGTGCATTATCCACCAACATTACCATATGCACATTCCCCCAACATGCCCAAAATCATGTGCTCGTCTGGAAGAAGTGAAAGAAACGGAATTGAGAAAATACAAATTTAAGGGATAATTTCTCTGTTTCCAATTAAAACCTTCTGCTGTCTGAGCTTTTCTGACATCAACAAGAAAGGAAAAACTTGGCCTCTCAGCCCAGAAATGCTCTCAAAGTCTTATATTGAAGGCAACTACCAGTTCAAATGTGTGCGCGTGTGGGAGTTGGAGGGATAATGTGTGTGTCTTGCACTTGAACCCATGCACCATTTTGATCTCTACTCATAAGTTTCAAGAGGAGATTGTGAATCCCTAGAACGTGTTACCTTAATGTCTCAAAACTAATATCATAAATACAGCTGTGTCACACACCATCTCACATACTAGTTCCAAGACTTGATGAAGAAAGTTTAATTTATTATCTACCTATTTTTCCTATTAACCAATTTTTCTAATCAACTTGTTCAGAGATTTATTACACACCTCTAGAGCTGTTGGGACTTGAACCTGGTTCTCCCTGGTCCAGGGGCAGGGTCACCACCACTGCACCACACGAGGACCCTTGAAGAAAGTTCAAACATAAGAAAGGTGTGACAATCATCTGTGCCCTGAACACTCACTTCTGATCATCAATTAGGATGACCATCAATCAGATGTAAATCAGTAAAATGCCCCATTACATAAGACCTAAAGACATAGGAGCAGAAGCAGGCCATTCAGCCCAACAAGTCTGCTCTGCCATTCAACAAGATCATGACTGATCTGATAATCCTCAACTCAACTTTCCTGCCTTGTCCACATCACCCTTGATTCCCCTAATGATTAAAAATGTCTATCTCAGCCTTGAATATTTTCAACAACACAGCCTCTACAACCCTCTGTGGTAAAGAATTCCATAGATTTACTTCCCACAGGGTGGAAATTCTTCCTTATCTGTGTCTTAAATGCATGACCCCTTATTCTAAGATTGTGCCCTCTGATCCTAGACTCTTGCGTAAGAGTAAACCATTTTTATGAATCCACCTTGTCAAGCCCCTGAGAAATCTTGTACATTTCAATAAGGTTGTTTCTCTATCTTCTATAATATAACGAGTATCAGGCCCAATCTACTCAACTTTTCCTCATGAGAAAATTCCTCCATGCCTGGTATTAGTCGAGTGAACCTTCTCTGGACTTCCTCCACTGCCAGTATACCTTTCCTTAGATAAGGGCCTCAAAACTGTTCAGTATTGCAGCTGTGGTTTTCCTAGTGCCTTGTATAGTTTTACTAAGACCTCCCTACATTTATACTCCATTCCCTCTGAAATAAAGGCCAACATTCCATTTGCCTTCCCTATTACTGAACTTGGATGCTAGGTTTTTGCGACTTATACTCCCAAATCGCTCTGTTCCATAGCTTCCAGCACTCTTTGTCCATTTAAATAATGTTTAATTCCTCTTTTCTTCCTTCCAAAGTGCATAACCTCACATTATATTCCATCTGCTAAGTTTCTGTGCACTTTCTTAATCTGTCCATATCCCTCTGCAGACTCATTGTGTCATTCTCACCACTTGCCTTCCCACCAATTTTTGTTCCTCATCCAAGTCATTAATATAGATTGTATATAATTGTGACCATAGCAATAATCCATGACATACCACTAATTAGAATGTGCCATCCTGAAAATGTCACCCTTATCCCAACTCTCTTCAATCAGTTAGCTAATCCTCTATCCACGTTAATATACTACCTCCAACGCCATGGGCTCATATCTTATTAAGAAGCCTAAAATGGAGTGTATTTTCAAATGCCTTCTGAAAATCCAAATATACTACAACTACTGCTTCTCTTTTATCTATTCTGAAAAAAACATGCCAAAATAAATCAATGCTCAAGGCTGAGGTTACAGCTGCACAGTCAAATAATTAGAATCTCAGATAAGGAAAAGGTAATTTAGCCCCTCAAACCTGGTCCACCAATATCCAACTGTGTCATAGCTGATCTGTATCATTTATCCACCTTGCTTCCGTATCCCCTGACACCTAGTCGTGATAAAAATCTATTGATCAGCTTTGAAATTTTCAATTACTCGCAAGCTCAACAGTTTTTTTTAAGGAGGGAGTGAGGTAGAGGAATAGAGCGCCAATTTTCCACTGTCCTTGTGCCAAACATGTGCTTCTTAACACGAGTCTAACTCTAATTTTAAAATTATGCCCCTTTATTCTGGACTTACTCACTAGAAAAAACAGCTTCTCTCTGCCTACCCTATCAACCGATTTAGTCAACTTAAATATCCAGGTGATCAGTGGTTGCGAGCCCGGGCAGACCACATGTAGAAGCATTCTTCAGAAAAAAAGGGTCTTGACCTGAAACGTCAGCTTTCCTGCTCCTCTGATGCTGCTTGGCTTGCTGTGTTCATCCAGCTCTACACCTTGTTATCTCAGACTCCAGCATCGGCAGTTCCTACTATCTCTCCACATGTAGAAGCCTCCTGCATTGATCTACTGCAGGCCCTTTATAGAAAGTCCGTAATGTTTATCTTTTTAACTTTAGTTCTTATTTTTCTAACTTACACTATGACTAACTGTAAGGTAATGTAACCTTTTTTCTTTACTTCTCTATTTTGTATCTAAGATTTGTACCGAAGATAGCGCCCAGTGGGGCGATGTTGTAAATTTTTCACTGTATTTCTGTACTTGAGTAGGTGACAATAAACCTAATTCCAATGATTTAATTCTTTTAACTTAGCAGTGGTATCCACCTGTGTTACATCCCATTCAAGGCTAATATGTACCATCTCAGCAGTGGTACCCAGCATACTGGACTCACCATTTTCTTTTGTACATCTATCCAGTAGATTTTAGCAATTTCTGTACATGGGATAATAAATTGCTCTGCTCCAAAGTTCCCTTCATCTACACTTTATTCTGATCTATCTTTCTTATGCCTAGAGTCAAAGAAACACAAAGTCCAGGAAAACATGCTAGAAGCAGCACCAGGCACACCTAAAGCAAGGTCCAGACCTGGGAAAGCTACAATATGAGTGTACATATGCTAAACAGTGGAAAAGGCATGTGACAGACAGAGATCAGCAAACCTACAAACAATGATGAAATCTAAGTTCTGCAGTCCTGCAAATCCTTAACTGGTGGTGAACAATTTAGCAACAAACACATCTAACTGTTCCTCATCCTCAACGATGGGATTACACAGCACATCAGTACAAGACAAGTCCAAAACATTCACAACCTCCTTTAGCCAGTAAGGTCAAGTTGGTGATCCACTTGGCCTCATTTTGAGTTTGTCAGCAACACAGATGTCAGCATATGTCATTTTGATTCACTCCACATGACCTGAAGAAAGAGCTGAAGGCAATGGATACAGCAAAAGCTGTGGGCCCTGATAACATTCCAGCTATAGGGCTTGTGCTCCAGAACTTGTCTGGTCAAGCTTTTCCAGAACAGGGACAACACCTGCATCTACCCAACAATGTGGAAAATCTTCCGGGTAGCTCCTGTCCACTAAAATCAGGACAAATCCAATTCGGCCAACTGCTGCTCCATCTATTTATCCTTGATCATCAGCAATGTGATGGAAGGGGTCATTGACAGCGTTTTCAAACAGCATTTACTCATTGATGCTCAGTTGGGTTCCAACAGGGCTACTTTCCTCTAGGCCTCATTGCAGTTTTGATCCAAACATGCAGGCATGAGTTTGCCTTCAGAAGTGAGACATACTGTCTCGACATTTAAGACATCATTTGACGGATTGTTGCATTGAGCCCAAGCAACTGGAATCCACAAAATTCTCTGCTGATTGATGTCATATCAAGCATGAGGAAGATACGTGTGGTTGTTGGAAGTCATTCATCTCAGTCTCTGGTCATCACTGCAAGAGTTCCTTAGAATAGTGCCCTTGGCCCAACCATTTTCAGCTGCATTATCATTGCCTTATTTCTATCATAAGGTCAGAAGTGAGGATTTTCACTTATGATCACACCATGTTCAGTCCATGTTTGATTCCTCAGATATGAAAACATTTTCTGTCTGAATGCAGCAACATGCAGATGCAGTGTAGAAATTCACAAAGGCTCCTTTAACAGCACTTTTCAAACCTATGACCACTACCATCTCGAGGACAAGGACAACAGACACATGGGAACACCCACCTCCAAGTAACTCTCCAACCTGACTTAGAAATACACTGTTTATTCCTTCAGTTTCTTGGGTCAAAATCCTGGAACTCCCATTCTAATGTCACTGTGGGTGTACCTTCACCAAATGGATTACAGCATTCAAGAAAGCAGCTCCCCACTACTTTTTAGGTAGGTAGGGATGGGATAAAAATCCATATCTCATGTATAAATAAAAACAATTCAGTGGTCACTGTACGCAGGACAGATGAGATGATTCTTTTGCTGATCAGAACACTCTTTCTCTGTCTTCCTTTTCTGAATGATTTCACTTGTTGCAGTGTGTACAGGGTGGCTGGTTCCCACATTTAAATCTCGTCCACAGTCCAAAGACATGCAGTTTAGGTGGATTAGCCATGGGAAAAGCAGAGGTACAGAGATAAGGTAGGGGTTGTGGGTCTGGATGGGATGCTCTTCAGAAGGTTGGTGTGGATTCAATGAGCCAAGTGGCCTGCTTCCACACTGTAAGGATTCTATTAACATTGAGCAGCAAGAACACGGGTGATCTGTGAACAGGAGTTAGTGCAGGCTAGAAGAACAGATAGCGGAGTATGGTTGACATTCAGCTTACAGAAAGTATGATGCAGGACACTAGCCTACAGTATGTCAGATTAATCAAGTCTGGAGCAAACAAAGGGATGAGGATGCAGCAGATAAGCTGTGTCAGGGTAAAGTCAGTCAATGTTACAGAGGTGGAAGCTGGCTTTCTTAGCGGTGTGGTCTCAGATATGTGGTCTAAAGCTTGGAAGGCCACTTGGTTGGAGAGCCAGATGGATTGGATTAGTGCCTACAGTATGGGTTTCAATCCCAGCTCTGGCTGAAGTGGATTCACAACGTGCTTCCTTGTTCTACGTATGGTGGAGGTTGTGACGTTGTGTGTTGGACTGACCTTTGAACAGAAGAAGAACAAATCAGAATGGACAAAAACAGAAGTTGCTGGAAGCTCAGCAGGTCTGGCAGCATTTGAGAGGAAAAAAATCAGAGTTAATATTTCAGGTCCAATGACCTTTCCTCAGAACTGACGGGAAAACGTCGGTTTATATGCAGCTACCATCAGTTCTGAGGAAGGGTCACCGGACCCAAAACGTTAACTCGGATTTTTTTCTTCCCATATGCTGCCAGACCTGCTGAGCTTCCAGCAACTTTGTTTTTGCTCCTGATTTACAGCATCCGCATCCTGACCGAGGTCAATAGTTTATTTGAATACAGTCACCGGAGTTTCTGGCAACCATGCACAGGTGGGCACCAGTCTTGCTCCTTAAGTGATGCACAGGGTTGCCTGTTTATGCAAATAAGATGTCCTCCCACCGAGCCCCGAAATTCTACAGAAACTCCGGCAGAGGGTATGACTGCACAGAGATGTTATCAATTTTGTTAGCTGACCTCTTGGTCACTAGGCTCCAAGGGTCAAATCGTACTTTAGGACTTTACAGCAAAAGTTGAGGTGACATTCCAGTACGGTACCGAGCAATTGCTGCACATCGAAGATGATATCTTTCAGAAGAGACATTAAACTGAGTGTCTGTCTGTCTGCTGGGTAGATACAAAGATTCCATGGTACTTATTCAAAGAACAACAGAAGATTTCTTCCCAGAGTCCTGGCCAATATGTGCATCTCAGCCAAAATAACAAATCATATAACAGATTTTATAGACATGATCATATTGTCCCACTCTGAAGTGGAAGAAGCAAAGTAAACCTTTATCTCTAGGGACTACCAAAGAAGATATTTGTGGGGGAGTTTGCCGAGTGCAAATTGGTTGCTGCACTTCCTACAGCTATAATTCAAAAGAGTACTCCATTAGCTGCAAAGAACTTTAAACTGTCCAGTGATGGTGAAAAACATGATATAAATGCAAGCATTTCCTTTGTAGCAATCAAGCCCACTGGACAAAGACCGAGTTACATTTTTCCAAGTACTGAACGTGATTATTATTGTACAGCACGGAAACAGAACCTTCGATCCAACTCATCCATGCCGACCAGGTATCCTAAAATAATCGTGATTGGGTATGACTTGATTGGACTGTATGTTTAATCCTCAGCATCAATTTCTTCAGCTGTTTCAAACTTTCTGATGCATTGTTGACACTGTCCTTCCACTCAAAGCAAAAACCCATTTATTAATTTGGTTAATTAAAATCAAAACTGCTGCAGATGCTGGAAATGTAAGATAAAAACAGTGTTGGCAAGAAATTCAGCAGAAAGGGCACAAGTGCAATATCACTCTTAAGAACTGATTCCTGCTATTTTTCTATCTACATGCTTTATTTCCATTAAAACACACTCAAAATTTTCTATGACACCTCTTGTTGTAATACTGGCTGGGTTCTGAAACCCACACAAAACCTTAACTATTTTTCACCTAAGCTCACAAACCTCAATGATATGTTTCCAAACATAACCTAACACTTTCTTTAAGAAATCCATGCCGACTGTGATAATTAGCCTACACATTTCCAGATACTCACTGGTTTCACCTTGAATTATGGATTCTAAAATTTTACAAACACAGCCAAACTTTTCAATAGTTACCTGACGTAACGTAACATTTTTTAAAAAGAGGTGCCACATCAGCAAACCTCTAGACCTCAACAGTGGAACTTTCCGTACATCTGGCGCCCCTATGTAAAGTTATGAAACACTGTAAATCCAATCAAAACAAAAATTATTTAAATCTTAATTCAACCCAAACTAAAGCCTAAGCACCGTGCATATAACTAGCAAACTTTTGTACCGTCTGTGAGAAATTATCAGTCCTTAAATGAAACTTTGCTATTTTTCAACACTTAGGAATTCAAGTGTGCCGTTTGGAGCAGGAGTTCGTTTAATTTTGGAGAAAAAATGCATTAAAGGAAAGCTTCTTTAGAAGTTGCTGAAGCAATCTCATGAAAGGAACAAATGTGAAGGGATTAACTAATGCGGGCAGGTGACGGTGTGTCGTTATGTTTCTAACTGAGGGCAGCAACAAGATCCCGGGAGCAGCTCGGTCACCGCTTCCCGGCCCTGGGGCCCGGGCGGCAGGAGGCCTCCCCGGCCACATACGGAATGGAACTTCCTGGTTGACCGGCCCCCGCCGAAGTGAACTCCAACTACCGCCCGGGGCCTCGTCGTATCCCGGACCCCGGACCCCAGCCTCTACCCACCCCATAGACGTGGTAGCCCTCGCTGCCGCTGCTCTGAGAGCCTCCCATCCTCGGACTCGCTGCTCCTCCGCTCCTCGCTCCGAACCTCCAACTTTGCCCTGACCAAGGCCGGACTCCGGCAACATCGCCCCCTCCCGCCGGACTCCGGGAACATCGCCACCTCCCGCCGGACTCCGGGAACATCGCCCCCTCGCGCTGGACTCCGGGAACATATCGCCTCCCGTCGGACTCAGAGAACATCACTCCCCCCCGCCCGACTCCGGGAACATCGCTCTCTCCCGCCCGACTCCGGGAACATCGCCACCTCCCGCTGGACTCCGGGAACATTACCGCCTCCCGCCGGACTCCGGGAACATTACCGCCTCCCGCCGGACTCAGAGAACATCGTCACCTCCCGCTGGACTCCGGGAACATTACCGCCTCCCGCCGGACTCAGAGAACATCGCTCCCTCCCGCCCGACTCCGGGAACATCGCCCCCTCCCTCCGGACTCCGGTAACATCGCCCCTTCCCGCCGGACTCCGGGAACGTCGCCCCCTCCCGCCGGACTCCGCAAACATCGCCCCCTCCCGCTGGACTCCAGGATCGAACATCGCCCCCTCCCACTGGACTCCGGGAACATCGCCCCCTTCCGCTGGACTCCAGAAACATTACCGCCGGACTCCGGGAACATCGCCCTCTCCCGCCCGACTCCGGGAACATCGCCCCCTCCCGCCGGACTCCGGTAACATCGCCCCCTCCCGCCGGACTCCGGCAACGTCGCCCCCTCCCGCCGGACTCCGGGAACGTCGCCCCCTCCCGCCGGACTCCGGGAACATTACCGCCTCCCGCTGGACTCTGGGAACATTGCCCCCTGACCTGCTGAGTTTTTCCAGCAATAGTAGGAACTGCAGATGCTGGAGAATCTGAGATAACAAGGTGTAGAGCTGGATGAACGCAGCATCAGAGGATCAGGAAAGCTGACGTTTCGGGCCTAGACCTGAAGAAGGGTCCAGGCTTGAAACGTCAGCTTTGCTCCTCTGATGCTGCTTGGCCTGCTGTGTTCATCCAGCCCTGCACCTTGTTATCTGAGTTTTTCCAGCAATTTGGTACTAATCAAACAATCCTCACTAAATTCATGATGTACCAAAACCGACATCATTAATAGAGATTAAATGATCATTTGGCTCTTGGTTGCTTTTTGTGAACATTTGCAGAATAGTAATTGCAAGAAAAGTAATTCTGTGAGTGGTCTGGTGGGTGTTTTCAAAAGTCCTCAGAATACAAAAGGCATATTATAATTGCAATTATTGGATGCTATATATTAAAGTTCTTTGCGGACAAAAAGAATGTGTAGATACACTTCACAAGTGATAGTCTTTCACTAATTCATGTTTCGGCTTTGATAGAGTCAGCCTGCAGAGTTTAAAATTTAAAATGTAAACAAATCCAGCATTTGGCTGTCAGTCACATTAAGTGGTGCATTCTTCCTACCAGCCAACAAATGCTGTCCTCTCATACAGTATAAACATTGGTTTTTTTCCACAAATTTTCTTCTTACAAATTATCCTGATGAGTGTATGGCAATAAGCTCTGACAATACTCAAGTTCTTCTTTCTTTTACCTTATTCAAACGGCCATTCTCTGTGATGGTCCCCTCTCTCGATATCTTCCATCAATTGCTTTGAGTGAAATTTTTGGCAGAAGTTTCAAGAACCAGAGTATCAATTTCAACTGATATGGCAAAAGATGCCATAAAGAACTAAGATTTTGCTCAGTGACTGGAGGCTGGAATACGTGGCTAGAATGTGTGGTGGAGGCAGATTAAATGGTGGCTTCAAAAAGCGAGTACTTAAAAAGGGAAAACTAGCGCAGAGACAGGGGGAATAGCATGGAAGAGGGGCTGGCAGTTGGACGTTCACAACAATGATCCCAAGAACGAAGGCCTTGTCATATAAGGAGTGGTTGAGGACTTTTGAGTCATCAAGTCAAACGGTATAGAAACAAGCCCTTCAGCTGCTATCTCTATGCTGACCAACAAATACCAAACTAAACTAATCCCATTTATCTGCACTTGATCCATAGCCTACCACGCTCTGACTCATCCAGATACTTCTTAAATGTTGTGAGAGTACCTGCCTCCACCACCCTCTCAAGTAGCACGTTCCATATTTCTACCATCATCTGGGTGAAAAAAACCTTTCCTCAGATTCCCCCCCTAAACAACTTATTCCTCATCCTAAACTTGAGCCCTCTGATCTTAGAAACATCTTCCACGTGGAAAATATTGTCGCAAATTATTTGCCTATGTATCTCATAATTTTGTATACCTCAATCACATACCTCTCAGCCTCCTCTGCTCCAAGGAAAACAAACCCAGTCTATCCAGTCCATCCTCACAATTGAAACTTTTCATCCCAGGCAACATCCTGGTGAATCCCCTCTGCACTCTCTCCAGTGCAGTCACGTCCTTCTGATAGTGTGGCAATGAGAACTGCACACAGTATTCCATCAGTGGCCTAAAACATTTTATAAAAGTGTAACAAGACTTCCTTGCTCCGGTATACTATGCCTCAGCTAATGAAAGCAAGCATCTCTGACGCCTTCTTCACCACACTGTCTACCTCTGCTGACACCTTCAAGGATCTATGGACTTGTATACCAAGGTACCTTTGCTGCTCAGTACTCCCTAGGGCCCTACCATTCATTGTGTATACCCTTCTCTTGTTGGACCTCCCAAAATGCATCACCTCACACTTATCAGGATTAAATTCCATCTGCTGTCGCTCTGCCCAATTTACCAACTGATCAATGTCAGACCGAGCCCTAGCCTCACTAGCAATGACACCAGTAATTTCCATGCCATCTGCAAAATTAGTACTTATGTCTTCTACATTCACATCTAAGTCATTAACATATACAACAAACAGCAAGGGTCCCAGCACCAATCCCTGTGGTATACCACTGGTCACAGGCTTCCAATCAGAAAAACATCCCTCCACCACCACACTTTGCCTCCTATTTGTAAGCTAATTTTGGAACCATTTTGCCAACTTACCTCGGATCCTATGGGCTTATCTTTTGGACCAAACTTCCATACGTTTTACTAAAGTTCATGTAAACCACATCAACTGCACTACTTTCATCGATATATTTAGTCACTTATTCAAAAAGCTCAATTAAATTAGACAGGGTCTTCACCTAACAAATCCATGCTGATACTTCCTGATCAACTCCTGCCTTTCCAAATGATGATTAATCCTGTCCTTCAGAAGTTTTCCAATAGTGAGTCTACCCACAGCTCCAGCTGCTCAATGTGATCAATCAGGAGCTGCAGCTGAACAAACTTCCTGCATACATAGGACACTGGAGTATCCCTGATTTCCCACATAGGAGGAGCATTCCACAGGGCAGGGTTCTCCTGCCATTGTGATCCTTACCAACTACAAACAATAAACAAGGAGCCAATTACTCAACTTTATCCACTACTCACCAAATCAGATTTCTCTTGCTATTCCTTTCTCTATTCCTAACAATCTACAAACCACAAAAATAAGTCTATACTGGATGGAGTTGACAAGGATGAGGAGGGATTGCATTGAAACTTACAGAATACTGAGAGGCCTGGGTATAGTGGACGTGGAGATGAGGTTTCCACTAGTAGGAGAGACTAGGACCAGCTGACACAGCCTCAGAGTGAAGTGATGACCCTTTAGAACTATTGAGGAGGAATTTCTTCAGCCAGAGGGTGGTTAATCTGTGGAACTCATTGCTGCAAAAAGGCTGAGGAGGCCAAGTCATTGAGTATCGTTAACTCAGAGATAGAGAGGTTCTTGACTGGTAAGGGGATACTGGGTTAAGGGGAGAAGGCAGGAGAATGGGGTTGAGAAACATATCAGCCATGATATGGCTGAGCATGACCCGATGGCTCCAAAGTTTGTCACTTCTTGAAATTTAAAAAAATTCACTTCACTCTGACTAATGCTCTGCAATAAATCAATTAAAACCTCCCCAACTTCAACTGCCTGCCTTTTCCTCCAGCCTCATTTCCAAAGATTGGGCCATGGACTTCCATTGGAATGACTGAGATTCTGCAGTCCTCTGGAATTTCAAAGATCCTCTAAGTGAAGAAATTCCTCCTCATCCCTTATTTAAGAATATATCCCCTGGTTCTAGACTCATCTGCCTAGCCAGTGAAATATTCTTTCTGCACCTATCCTGTCTATCTCTTGAAGAACTTTATCAGGTTCTGCTGGTCTCATCCTAGAGATTGCAGGCCTGGTCTCTTCAATTTCTCCTCATCGGACAGTCCGATCATCTCAGGAATCAATCTGGTGAGCATCTGTTGTACTGCCTCTCTGTGGGAGGTATATCCTTCCTAAGACAAAAGGACCAATTGCACACAATATTCTAGATGCAGTCTAACCAATGTCCCATATAATTACCACAGCACATTGGTTAGCACTACTGCCTCACAGTGCCAGTGACCCAGGTTCGGTTCCAGCCTCAAGCAACTGTCTACGTGGGGTTTGCACGTTCTCCCCATGTCTGTGAGAGTTTCCTGCAGGTGCTCCAGTTTCCACCCACAGTCCAAAGATGTGCAGGTTGGGTGAATTGGCTATGCTAAATTGTCCATAGTGTCCAGGGATGTGCAGGCTAGATGGATTAGCCATGGGAAATATGGGGATAGGATAGAAGGCTGAGTGGGATGTTCTTCAGAGAGTTGGTGCAGACCTAATAGGCTGAATGGCCTCTTTGTACACTGTACACTGTAATCTATGATTTATGAATTGAAGAAAAACATCTTTGCTTCTGTACTCAATCCCTTCAGGTTCTCCCCCACCTAGCTAGCTTAAACCCTCTTTGACTGCACCAACAAATATTCCAACAAGAATTTTAGTGCTACACCTACATACCATCCTGGAATCATACCTTTGGCCACAGAAATGCCTGGCTGTTCCCCGATTCAATCCCCACACGTATTGCCCTTCCACAATTCTTTCTGTCCAACCCTCTGGTTGTACACCAATCAGCACCCCTCATTTTCTAGTCTTCTACAGTTGAACAATCATTTTCTTGGTAAAACCGAAAGAACTGCGGATGCTGTAAAATCAGAAACAAGAATAGAATTTGCTGGAAAAGCTCAGCATCAGAATGAGGAAGGGTCACCGGACCCAAAACGTTAACTCTGACTTTTTTCTTCACAGATGCAGCCGGACCTGCTGAGCTTTTCCAGCAACTTCTGTTTTTGTTAATCATTTTCTTGATTTTGGTCCAAACACCCCCTCCCCCCGGTTATATCCCAATTAGATCCCCACTCTGCCAGGGGACCTGCTAATGGACCAATCAATTACTTGATCTTGG